AAAAAAAAAAATTCCGACGAACTGATAACCTCCTCATTTTTTGGAAGTCGGTTAAAAAAAGCTTTCGAAAAACCATTTCACCACTTGGTCTGCACATATCGCACGTTTAATAATGTAGAGAAGTAATTCAAAATTTACGTTTTTGGAGATTTCATCATACAATTAATAAGCTTGTAAGGAGAATATATTCAGCCTAACAGATTACTAAATTTCAAAAAAAATTTAGAAGATATATGTGTGTCTTTTCATTTGCCTTTGTGTATACGCCACGCAGTAGATAATTTCAGGAGTTAAGAGCATGCTGTGGTGTAGTGGTAAGCAGTGCGCGCTTTCACTCATCAGCACCTGGGTTCAAACCCTGGTCAAAGCAATATCGCAAAAAAAATATAGAAAAAAGGGTTTTTCTTAACGGCGGTCGCTCCTCGGCGGGCAATGGCAAACCTCCGAGTGCATTTCTGCCATGAAAAACAGCTTCTCATAAAAATACAATCGCCGTTCGGAGTCGGCGTAAAACTGAAGGTCCCTCCGCTTTGTGTGACAACATCAAGGCGCACGCCACAAATCGGACTAGAAGCTCGGCCAAACACTAACATATGTGTAAGCACCAATCTATTATTATTATTAAGAGCCTTTCCGAAAGGCCTTCCTGAGAGTCAAGGGGCCTCCCACTTTACATTCCTTTCTCCTTTTTTTGTATGGAGTGGCACAAATTGAAGGGCTTCTTCTTTCGCCATAGAAGGCCTTCCAGAAGGGCTTTTATAGGACGTACTTTAAAACGCCTTTTGGGGGAGTTCTTTTAAAGTTGTTTCTTTAATTTTTAAAAGGCATTCATCTTTGAAGTATTTGCTTAAGGTTTATATCAAACATGTATTATTGCAGCTTAAAATGTTTGTTGAAATTCATTTTTAATGCTAAATAATATAAATGTATGCATTCGCGTAAATTGTACTTCGGATATCGTAAAATGTACTTCAGTTAATTGTACTTCAGAAATCGTAAAATATACTTCAGATTAGTGAATTGTACTTGAGAAACCATAAATTGTACTTCAGATTCGTAAATTGTACTTCAGAAACCGAGAGTGTACTTCAGATTAGTCAATTGTATTTTAGAAACCAAAAAACGTACTTCAGAATTGTAAATTGTACTTCAGAAACCGAAAAATGTACTTCAGCTATTCGTAAATATCATTCAAAAACTTTAGATACTGTACGTTATGTACAAGCACTTTTAAACATATAACATTTTCGCCAAAAATGCACTTACCACAAATGAGCGCTCAACCATGAAACTATTTTCCAAATTTATGTAGTTTTCAGTTTCTTCACAACATTTATTTACAAAAAAAAAAACAACTTATTTGGTAGAGCGTGCGGCGGTAGAACAAATTAAAATTTGTTTCGTCAATATATATTTTTTGTTTTCCAGCTTATATAAAAGTACTTAAAGCTCTTACATATTCGGCGCGTTTTGCATTATTTACGGCACTGTTGATGGTCGCTGGCTGGTGGTGTACATTTTTAATCTTATACAACCTGCGCTGTAAATAGTCTCCTATTGGCATTGCGCACTTTAATTTTTATTTGTTTTAGTGTCAAAGTGCAGTTCTCCTCCATCCAATGTACAATACCGTCCACTTCTTCCACGGCAAGGGACTTTGCTTTCACTCCTCCTCTTTTGAGCATTTTATCTCTGCCCGATGTCACCCACGTGTAACCTGTTCTATAGTTGACGCCCAAAAATCCCGCCAAACTTATCCAATCGTCGTTCTTATTTGCTGCTTCCACGACTCTGTTTCTATCCTGATCCGAATAGACCTTGTAGTTTTTGCGCTCGATTGCTTCAGTGTCTCCGCTAATCAATAAAATTTAAATCATATACATGCATGTACATTATATATTATTGTATTTTAAGACGTCCACCAATATATTTCGGAAAAATATTAAAATTTAAGCAAGCTGAACCGATTCGAAAATACCTCCAAAAATGGAGGTTTTTATGAATAAAAATAGTTTCTTAAAGATGTTTTTTGAAAAAATTCCCTCAAATGACAAAACGGTTTAAGCTTAAAAAATGTACATACAAATATAAAAAAAAAATAAATAAAAATGTTTGAACGGAATCGTAATAATGAGATTTTTATGCTGTTTCTTAATTTTTTTCAAAGATTGTTATAAGAAAAACTTGAATAACTGAACCTAAGCTCTTGCGATTTAGAATTGTGAGGTATCATTGGAAAGGTATTTTCTCACCCTTTTTATTTCTAGTAAACTCGTTCAAAGGATGAAAGTGAAAGGTAGGATGAACGAACATCATTCAAAGTTGAATTAAGATGTGTTGATATTTAAAAAAAAAAAAATGTGGACACGAATGACTTTTTTTTTGTACATAAATAAAAATAGTGGGAAAATACCTTTCGACCGAGATCCCAGAAGTCTAAATCAGAATAGTTTTGGCCAAGTTATTTAAGTTTTTTGTAAATCAATCTTTGAAAAAAGTAAAAAAAAGCATAAAAAATCTCATTATTACGATTCCGTTGAAAAGATTTTTAAATATTTTTATGCAGATTTTTTAAGCCTAATCTGTTTTGTTATCTGAGGGGACGTTTTTCAAAAAGTTCTTCAAGAAACTATTTTTATTCATAAAAATCCCCATTTTTGGAGATATTTTCAAATTGGTCCAGCTCGCTTAAATCTTAATATTTTTCCGAAATATTCTGGTGGACGTCTTAAAATATAATAAGTTTTGTAATCCCGGCGGAAGAACCGAAACTTTTTTTGGCAATGCAGTCTAATGTACCTACATAAATTATTAAAATTAATTTAGGTTCTTGGTTGTAAGAGATACATTACCAGTAATTATTTGTCGTGCAGGAGATGTTTGCATGGTAAAAGACGGAATATAGCCTTTCGCTTCATACTTATTCGACAAATAACACACTTATCCTGGATCTCCATTTTAATATTTTTTTTTTTTTTTAAGAAATTAATTTTTTTAAGCGCAACAAATCACAATTAAATGAAAGGAAAAAAAAGTTCGATATACGCCAATTAAAAAATATATAAATGTAATCATACATGAGGCAATTCACGTCAAATGTCCCAAGCGCGCTGAGCGGTGCAAAACAAGCTTGTTTTCGAATAACTGAAAAGCAGGCAGAAAATGGGAAAAATAATTTAAAAACCATGATTTATATAGATTTTTGTACGGGCTATCCGATGGTGTTATGCCGTTTCCTAAATTTTCCCATTTTCACGGTGAAAATTCGCAACGAAATTTTATTTGTAATTTTTCTCAATTATGGTCATTTTTAATATTGTTTTAAGTCATCTCAATCGAAAGATCAGGTCTTTTTACATATAAATCATTAATAAAAAAAGGGACCTTTTTTGATTTTTCCGAGCTATAAAGCGTTTTATAGCGGGCTATAAAAACATCATACTGTGATAGGAAATTTTTACAAAATCATTATTTAAACACGCTATATCTCAGACGTTTGTGTATCGATCGATTTGAAATTTTCACACAATAAACTAAAAACTATTCCAAAGAATTTAAGTTAAAAAAAAAACTTCTTTATACTTATTAAAAACAAAATGCCGGGTTTTAGAACTTTTTAATAAAAATAAATAGGGTTGTCTTATTCTAATTAAAAATGTGTGTTATAAAGTTCCAAATCTAATTTCTTTAAGGCAGCATTATAGACAAATATCTGAGACAGTTGTTGGGAAACTTTCAGATTTAAATATCAGGTCGTTCAAAAGTTATAAGTTATAACAATATGAAGGTGATGCGTACGTGTTAGATATATCGAGTTTAAGTGAAAAAGTGAAAGTCGGCTCGGTTCGTTTGCACGAATTAAAAAAAAAAAAATTTTAAATAGTGAGTGAGAAAAACGTTTTGAAAACAAAAACTCAACAAATAAAAAAACCTAGAAAAACTCAGAAAAATTCAAAAGAAGAGACCTAAATGAGTCATCTAATTAAAAGGCAACCTAACAGCGCTCGGTTGGGTATAACTAAATGCAAAAATCTATGCGCATCACCTTCATATTGTTATAACTTTTGAACGACCTGATTTTAAATCTGAATGTTTCCCAAATACTATTTCTGAAATTTGTCTATAATGCTGCATTAAAAAAGAGATTAGATTTGAAACTTTATAACACACTTTTTTAATTATAATAAAACCGCCCCATTTATTTTTATAAAAAAGTTCTAAGAACCGGCATTTTGTTTTTAATAAGTATTAAGAAGTTTTTTTAAACTTAAATTCTTTGGAATAGTTTTCAGTTTATTGTGTGAAAATTTCAAATCGATCGATACACAAACGTCTGAGATATAGCGCGTTTAAATAATAATTTTGTAAAAATTTCCTATCACAGTATGATGTTTTAATTCGTTCAAACGAACGGTGTCGACGTGACGCGACGGAGCGTGGCGACTGGTATAGCCCGCTATAAAACGCTTTATAACTCGGAGATTACTTAAAACCATATTAAGAATTACCATAATTGAGAAAAATTACAAATAAATAAAAAATCGGATAGCCCGTACAAAAATCTATATAAATCATGGTTTTTGAATTATTTTTCCAATTTTCTGTCTGCTTTTCAGCTATTCGAAAACAAGCTCGTTTTGCACCGCTCAGCGCGCTTGGGACATTTGACGTGAATCGCCTCACATATGTATATATTACAAGTAATTTTATGCAAAATATGTATGTACATACTACATGTGAATAAATGACGTTATGCTTGTACTATATTCCTGCATACATTCGATTGCGATTTTTTGCAATAGAAGCAATTATTATGTAGATTTAATTAAGAAAGTGTATATATTTTATGAAAAGGAGGTCCAGGATAATTCCATTTTTACCTCCCTTTTATTAGCTCGGGATGTAACTATGTAATATTGATGCGCCTAAAAGATGCAGCGATTTATATTCTCAAGTTACATACCTGATGACAGTACGAATGGAAATTATAACAGCGAGGTTTTAGTTTTATAAACTATAATTTTATTTTAGATCAGCATTAAGCGAAAGGCTATATGTACATACATGTGTATTTACAGTTCTCCTTTGTTCGTGCAAACATCTTTTATATAAAGTTAGTTCGAGAGATATATCACCCTCAGAGAAATAATGATTGGTTATATCAATATTCTCAAAATAGAAGGATTTGGAGCAAAGTCCCTACATTGGAGGAAGTGAACTGTAATGTTAAATGGATTATAGAGCGCTACTTTAACACCTGAAGTACATTTACAAAAGTAGTTTCTGAAGTACATGTCACACTTTCTGAAGTACATTTTACGGCTTCTGAAGTGCAACTGATTAATCTGAAGTACATTTTTCGGTTTCTGAAGTACAATTTACGGTGTAGTAGGTTAAGTCCAATTGACTAATCTGAAATACATTTTTTGGTTTCTGAAGTACAATTTACAAATCTGAAGTACATTTAATGGTTTCTGAAATACAGTTGACTAATCTGAAGTACATTTTTTGGATTCTGAAGTACAATTTACAAATCTGAAGTACATTTGATGATTTCTGAAATATAATTGACGCTTTCTGAAGTACTATTAGAAAAGGTGTAGTCTGAAGTATAGTTTACGGTTTCTGAAGTACAAATAACTAGTCTGAAGTATATTTTACGGTTTCTGAAGTACAATTGAATAATCTGAAGTACAATCGGAAAAAGTGGGGCAGGCATGCAAAGAAGCACTTTTTTCAGTCCTTCTTGGGTACGCCTCTTAGAATGGCGTCACTTAAGAAGGCCTACCTAAATTATCTTCTGGTAATTGTATGAATTGATCAAACTTTGATTGCCTTTCCCCACAAAATAGAAATTTCGAAATTATGCTGTACATTATTCAACTGACGATATATACACACAATGTGCTCGTTTTTAATTGTTGAAGGATATAATGCTACGCTTGCGAAGTGAATGCTATGCACCATAAAATAATAGTATGATACGTTATACATTAGACGTTAACAATAACATTTTAAACATGGTACAATTAGTTATTTGCTCTAAAACATATCTCTACTTTCTTTACTAATAATCTAACCTTAAACAATTGTATTGTAATTATTTACATGATATTTGGATGTTTAAAATATAAGCATGAAAAACATTAGTATTTCTCTTTCATATTGAACTACATTAATGGCTACTATACATTTACTTTTGCTAAACGTATGAACGTGTTAAATTTTTTTTTTATAATTTACTTTGTTAGACTGAACTTTAGAAGTTTAATGACATACTAAGTATTTTACTTGAGGTTTACGTGGGTGATCTTTGCTTCACTAGCTGCATTTTTGAAATCATGTGTCATTCGTGCATGTGACAGATAATGTGCTCTTTATCAACGGAATCTGGCTCAAGGTCGTAATCGACTACTGTTACATCAAGTGGTTTTCGACTAGATGCTGGCGGCGTCAACAACCCCTCTGGGCATAATAAGCCGGTAGCTGGAGATGCTTCCGTACGAATTATAGCAGCCAAAGCATTTTCTTGCAATTGAGCAACGCGATCCTGATAATGATACAAATAACAACATATAATACATCTTTATTTAATCACAAATAAATACTTACAAACATTCCCATTGATATTGTGTGAGTTTGTATAATGTGTGAGTCATCTGTCACGATATTTGGGCAAAAGTGTCCCATACCAAAACGATTCGTTAGCTGATCATTTTGCTCCATCAAGACAAGATACGTTGACTCTTCTTGCACAATTTGAAAGAAGGGCTGCATCCAGCGTGCACATGTCTCAACTGTTTGCCAATCGAACCCAGAGCAACGCAAGGCTATCTCTCTATAAAACAAAATATATAAGTAAAATTTATGAGCTGTTTTTATTCCCGAGCGCACTTGTACACAAGGGTATTACAACTTTGTTCACATAACGGTTGTTTGTAACAGCCAAAACGAATCGAGATTCCATCTCTATCTCAAATGTATACAAGTAAATAAACGCTCAGAATCAAAAGGAAAGTCGATTTAAGCTATAAACAAATGCATAAATAAATGCTCAGAGTGAAAAGAGAAGTCGATTAAGGCATGTCTGTCTGTCCGGCCGTCCGTCCTTGTACACGACTACTAGAGCAAAAATTTAGATATCTCAACGAAATTTGGGAAGAAGTTTATCCAAGGTAGGTTGGTATTGAAAATGGACGAAATCGGACCGTAACCACACCCACTTCCCATATAACGGTATTTTCGAAAGAGAACTACGATATTTCAGTAAATATTGGATCCAAAATGTTGGTAAAAAAGAATATCATCATGAAATTTCTGGAAAATGGGCGTGACCCCGCCCACTTGTGATGAAATGCTGTATCTCAGTAGCCGCTTTACCAATCCTTACGAAATTCGCTACGAGCCTTGAATAGGGTCTAGCTAAGAAATCCGTTGAAAATCTTTGAAATCAGACGCCCCACCTACCATATAACGGTAACGCTGTGGTGTAGTGGTAAGCAGTGCGCGCTTCCACTCCACAATGTCTGGGTTCAAACCCTGGTCAAAGCAACATCGCAAAAATATAGAAAAAAGGTTTTTTCTTAACAGCGGTCGTCCCTCGGCAGGCAATGGCAAACCCCCGAGTGTATTTCTGCCATGAAAAACAGCTTCTCATAAAAATACAATCGCCGTTCGGAGTCGGCGTAAAACTGTAGGTCCCTCCGCTTTGTGTGACAACATCAAGGCGCACGCCACAAATCGGAGGAGAAGCTCGGCCAAATACGTAACTATTGAATCACATAAAATTGACTATTGCAATAACCACTTAGGAGAAAATTAGATTAAAAATTGTTTGATAATGGGCGTGGCGCCGAACCTTTATGACAACAAATGTGTATCTCGGTAACAGATTTATCAATTTCTACCAAACTCGGTGCACTTAATAACTTTGGTACCGAATAGACATACGAAAAACCGATATTTCAATAACAGAGGATGCTAATGTACTCCAAGTTAATACTTACAACAACCGCTTAACAATAAATAAGGCATAGACTTTAAGGAATTTATGACTACAAGGTGTATATCGGTAATCAGTTTATCGATTTCTACCAAACTTGATTCAATTTTAGTTGCGTTCGCGTAGCTGTTAATTGTTCATGTTTAACCAAAACTTACAAGTTTTTGCGTTCGCGTACGCAAAAAACTTGCAAAGTAGGGGAAATTGAGAGAGCAAAGTGACATATTATTTTGAGGGGAAGCTGCTGGTTTCTGCTGGAAACATTTTTGCCAACAGCAATTTGCCAACAGGAAAACAGCTGATCAAAAGCAGCTGGTTGGCATTTACGCAAATCACAAAATTGAATTTGATGGTTTGGAAGTTAAAAATTACAAGATGCGACTGATTAAACTTGTAAGAAATAAGTAGTTATTTGTTTAATCAATAAACTGTGTCAATATAACACTTTGTGATGACTTTTCGTACGTTTTGAATCTTACACTTTTGAATGTAAACAAAAATTATATCAGCTGTTCGTCTAACTTGCAAGTTTCTGCAAATTTTCTGTTCGCGTACTATTTGGGATATTTTTCTCTTGTGAGAGAACAGATGACATTTCGCCGGAATTCGGCAGTTGGTTGGTTTTCACTGGAGATTTTAAACGAACGCACCTTATATCATTAAGTCTAATTCAGCATATTATCGAAAACGTTTGAAATTGGGAAAAACACACCTGCTTAACATGCAAAGGTAGTTTAGAAAAAATTTAAACGACAATATTTGATACCTGCGCCGTGTATATAAAGTTCGGTTTCGCCCGAACTTACACTTATTTACTTGTTTATAAAAAAAGGTATGTTTCCGAAAATACCTATTGAATGTGTGACTCATGGCGGCCGCAGCAATAATGGAGTATCCGTAGTCAGCAATCCCCAAATCCAACGAACATAAATCCAGTAACTGTGCAGTTTGGACAAATTCCATTCCAGAAAATTGTGGATAAATAAAGTCATCGTTGGTTTTCGGATCACCCCTGGTCGATAGCGCTGATTTCCTTTTATGAGCACCGCGTTTGAATGATGAAGGTGTTCTATTATTCACATTCAATTGCATGTAGACACCTAACCAACCCATGGGTGTAACCGGATTTATACTCCATTCAAGTGCCTGCAGTAACAACACTTCGTGCTGCAAAATATCTGATTCTTGGCATGCGCCATCCGTCACATAGGCGAATTCTCCAATTTTGGGCGGGTAAATTTCTTCTACTTTCGCCGCTACAAATAGACACGTTATGCCAATCAGCTGCAGATGAGTCTTCTGTATATTCTTTTGCACGCTGAGATAACGATCCAAATAGTCCACTGCCAGATAATATGTTTCTCGATGCAGTTTATACACTTCACACACCTCAATCAGCCAGTCGAGCAAAATAGCACGCATACGTGGCTGCAAACTCGGATGACATTCTAACATTGAACCTGATCGCAAGTAGGCCGCTTGTTGATCCTTTTTGCACATCAGCTGCCAAACATCGTCGGCATTAGCCCAACTTAGTGCAGGCAAAGGACACTGCCGCAGCTCTTCTGGTTCTGCAGCAGGAGTCATACAGTTGTATTGCGTTCCTGTATAGTCGTCCAACTTCTTGACTAACTTTGTCTCAGGATTGTTTTCATCCGCATCCATTTTATTTGTCATTTGAATTATCTGGCCAGGAGTGCGTTCGCCCAATTGGGTGGTGGTATGCAATTCATATATGTGATGCGCTTCTGTGGAGCTGGTTACGGAGCAAGCTGATGGCGACGTTATTGCCGTAACGACTTCATCGTATTCTTTCGCGACTTCGTCGTCCGGTCGTATGCTATTGTCGGAAATGCAGTCTGCGCTTGCATCGAATTCCGTTTCTTCGTAGAGGTAGTCACAGGAACTGCGTGTATCGATTTCGTGGACAAACACATTAATCGGCGAGGGATAGACAGACGACGCCATTGAACTTGCATCGCTTTTGTAAGGCGATGGAACCGTTTGCTTACGCTTAGCTGACGGTGGCTCAGAGCCAAGATCAGGATCCTGAAAAGAAAACACCAACATGATTATTTCAGAAATTAATAATAAAAAAAAATTAAGCTATTATGAAACTAATCAGAGTTAGGCAAAATTTTTTCGAATGACGAATAAAAATTAAATAGTTGTCTTCCTTATTCGTAAATAATAAATAATTTAGTTCATTCAAACAACAATTACACTGTGCAACAATTTGAGGGTCATTGTCTGGGGCGGAATTACTCCAACTCTGGATGAAAGACCAAGACCCATATAGTAAAACCTCAAAACCTTTTTGCATTCTATGGTCACATTTATTTGCTATGGCCATTTTAAATTTGCAATATTTTGCCTGTGTCTTTAGAATAAATGAAAATAGGAGTTAGAATACATATCAGAGAGAAATATGTTTGAGGGATTCACAACGATGTCGTAAGTGTCGTATTGTTGTATACCGTAAACTTTAAAAGCTTAAATAAATGTTTAGAGAACTTGAAACTACAACCAGCTTTTTTCTAAAACTGCAAAAACTCATAATATGGCTTTGATGGTACTCTTTGAACGCCCTTAATATATTTTTTAGGCGTTTAAAGTTTACGGCATACAACAATACGACACCGTTGTGAATACCCCAATTGTTTCGGGACATGTGGTCAAATTTTACGAGAAATATTTTTGTAGAACATTTTAACTCGTTATCTCCTCATAAAAGGGTAGTTTTGGCCCTTTTATTATTAGAAAGTCCGAATGGAATGGCATTCTGAAGGTCGCTAGAGGGTTAAAATCTTCTAGAAAATTATCTGCCATAAAATTTCACTAGGGATCCTGCCAGAAATCTTTGTACAAAGAATCTGCAAGTCCACAGAAAATAAAAATATGCACCAACTTTTTATGTTTTATTTTATATATATAACTCTTATAAATATATAACTCTTGCTGTTATCAGAATCTGAGTCACACATGACGTCCACGTGTGATTCCAATGCTGGCTCTACTGCGTCATCTCGAAATTCTTCATGATCGCGATCCTCAAACACGTGCTTACTCCATCAAAAAATTTCTGTTAGAATTGCGTTCGGTACTGTTTTTCCTCTATATCTGTATTGTTTTTTAATTAGAATAAGTTAAAATATTTTTGTGTTACAAGTATTTACTACCTCAATCCAAATGGAAGAGCCACTTTATGGTAGCGTTCGCCGTGCTTATCGGATTCAGTGGATACCTGCTTTGTAAAATGAGTCAGATGATGATGTAAAGTAATGAATTTTAAAGGACATGTACTTTTTGGTAGATATTTACCACAGCAGTAGCAAAAACTTTTAATATCTGACTTGGACGCTTCCATTTCACTTTTTCGATAAAAGTATTATGTTCTTTCCATGATACAAATATTTAACGGTAAAACCCTCGCTCAATTCGTCGGCCATCAATTATTTTTTGAAGTTTGTCTACTTTATAAAATTGAAATTATGAGAGCAACTCAAATTCCAAATAAAAGTAAAAGAAAAAAACCAATAGATGAAAATATTCAATTTTCCTTTATTTGAGACTGAAACTGAGAATGTATTTGTGAGATTGAAAATTTGAAAACACTTTTGCTATGTTAGCAAACTTCAAAAATCTTTACGTATCTGAAATTTTTAGTATACGCTCTTTGAGCTAGAATACAAAATCTAACCTGGTGCAACGTTTTAAAACAACGCACCACGCGTTATTAAAGTTTTATACGCGTTGTTTTTTTTTTTTTTTTAGTGTAAAGTGGGCGTAATTTTAGTCCGATTTCGAAAATGTTTAACATATAGCTTTTTTATGCCAAGGTCAATAATTGTACTGCGTTTGGTACAAATTGATAAATCGATTACCGAGATACACATACAGTGAACCAAATATAAACCTAGACGCGGGTTGAGCTACACAAATAAAATAAGTATGGTCATATGTACATAAATGGTTTCATCTAGGGATTAAAAAAAATATTATCGAAGTCCCTTAATTTAAAAATATATATATATATATTTACTATTAGCCAATGCCCGCTTACTTCGCGGCGCCAAATAAGAGCTTTTGCGTTGGCCAATGCAAAAGAGCGTTTAAAAACAAAATTAGTCTGTAAAGTCAAAATTTTTGATTTAAGTTGAAACCACCTCCTCACACATAGGCCAATAACAGTAACGCTGTGATACCATATGGAATACCAATCCCTTTCGGTGTCATGAGCATTACCGTTGGTCTTATTTCCACCTGTGAGATCTCTGCCAAGCGTGCGTAATATTCTTCTATGATCTTGCAGCTTCAACATTGGTGCGATGCGTATGCCAATAAAAATTCTTATAGGGAAACTCAAGAGCACAGAAGTGCGTTTTCTGTTATAGGAGTGTCAAGAATCCTCGCTGTCCCACAGGATGAAAAGTTTTCCGGTACATTGCTAAATGAGTCGTGTGATCTCTTAAGTATCTTTCAAATGAAGCAATTGATATACCTACGGTGATCTTTCCTTGTTAATTCACCACTTTAACAATTTATGGTAAAATTTATGAACTGATTTCTGGGTAGATGCAGGACCGCATCATCGTGCATGAGGGCGTCAGAAAAACTTAGCCCCATCCTTCATTTAGACATCTGAAAACTAAATTCGTATAACTTACACATAGGGCCAAAGTAGACCAACCACACGGGGTTTCTGTACATTTCGGCTGCAGCGCCATCCATTGGGTTCATTTTCTGCAGAACCATTGCTTACCATAAAATGAATACGTGTTATGAATTTCAACCTTAACTCCAGCGGCACTAATCGGGTAAATTTTTATCAAAAGAATTTTCCATCATACAGGTACATAGCCCACATTTAAAATTTGAACGAAATCGGTTAATAAATACGATTTTTATAAATAATTCTACTTCAGCACCACCTAGCGAGTTTTCTAGTAGCATGTAATTGGACCACATATGTATGTAAGATAACCTCCGACAATCTGACGGAACTCTATTCAGTGTTTTTTGAGTTTATTACGAACAACAAAAACAGGTATGTAGATAGGACAGTTTATAGCGAGACTCGTAAAAGCAAAGCTCCATTCTTTGTGAAAAATTTAAAAAAATTCTTCAAAATTTTCACATAAATTTTACCTTACTGAAAATTAAAGACAAAGTTACAATAGTTCAATGGGATTTAGAAATCTAGGAGAAAATGGTTCCCAATCGAATGATACTTGCGCGTTTACGTAAATGTATATCTATCCAGCCTTTCCAATAATTACCACTTTTCGCCATAACTACGGTATTGATAACATATGTAGCTGTGTAGAATTTCAGAACGTTAGCGTGTGCAGTTCCAGAGATAAGCTATATGAGAAGTTCAGTTTGTATGGAAGGAAGGAGCCACGCCCCCTTTCCCAATGCATTTGCAATATATGCATCAGTGCTAAGTCTCAGTTCCCCAGCGTGATCGGTTTTAGAGATATATTGGTTTTAGTCTGTATAAGAACTTTAGGAATATCCCGAGCTACATACCGAGTAAATTTTTGGTCAGAATATTTATTTTCAACGTGATGCCAGATATAAACCAAGCAGTGTTGCCACTTGAGCAAATGTTTATGTACCAAAATGCCTACCAAATCAGTTTTCAAACTACCAAACATCTTTCCATCATTAAAACGAAATTTCTTGAATTTAAGGGTTTTTAGCTACGCAAATCAGCAGTAAAAATTAAAATCTTTCTCTCAAGATAGGCAATTTTTCGTTAAATTTCAACAGCTGATCGATCATGTCTTTGGGAAGTGAGTAAACTCATACTTGGACAACTCTTACGTGTGACCAAATTGAAAGCAATTTTTGAACGTGGAAACGCAAAGTGACCCAGCAAGCAGAGAAACGTAAATTTTACTGAGTGCAGTACAATCTCGTACAATTTTCGTATCCGGGAACGAACAGGAAACGACTACAATTTTCGTTAATTCACGTATTCAAAATCGGTCAAAAGGCAATGCGGTTTTCGTATCCAGAAACGAACAGAAACGGCTACAGTTTTCGTTCTATTTCGTATCTGGAAAACGTTTGAATATGACGACGTAATTTGAAAGCAAAAACTGTATTTAAGTTTTTCAAGTAGCAGTGCAGAATAGTGTGCTAGTATTTGTTAGCTTTCTGAAGGTGCCGTGTTCGATGCCGTCAGGTAATTCCTTAATTTATCCTTTTCCGAACTATTAAAAAGCATCTGTCAAGTGCAGAAGGAAAGCGTATTGAACAAAAAATTCAACCAGAAAATTTTCAGAAAAACAGACAAAAACGCCTCCGTTTCAAAACATGTGTTTCTGCTACATATTTTCCTCCACTTTTTTTCCTTTGCGGATCCATTTCCGGTTTTTTTTTTGCTGGTTGTGAAGCGAACAAATATTAGTGCTTAATTTGGGTGCATTTCCAAAATATTTTTGCCTACCAAAAGCTTCATTAAACCAATCAAACTACCGAAGGAAAATGAAGCTACCAATTTTGGTCCAATTGGACCAAAACGGCAACGCTGGAACCAAGTCGATGCAGCCGTTTAGTAGTTTAATGAAATACATTCTAAAGAGAACTGAGAACGTCTCAGATTTCTTATTTTTTTGGCAGCAACAACGAAAAGTTTTAATTTTTTTTAGCAAAAAACCTTCCACACAGAAAAAAAAAAAAAAATTAAGTTTGTGGTTATATCAAGGCGAAATTTTGAGAACGGTCCGTTGCTAACTCTAAATATAAACAACGACGCACTGGAAAAAGTTAATACGTTCAAATACCTAGGAATAATGATCGACTATAAACTAAAACAAAAAAAATGGATTCTACATTTTCAATTAGAGCTCTAGCAATATGCACATCGGTGAAAACTGCATTTAATTCCATACATTAGCTTTTGCGTGATGCGCTTACAAACATACAGACAAACATACCAAAATTTTAGATTTGACTGATCTAATAAACCCCCTATTAATTTTTCTTTAACATCTATTATGTACAGATCGGCCTGTTGCAATTTTATTATTCTCAAATAC